CTACGTTGTGTACATATATATATATATACGACGCCATTGTTTCTCTAATATTTCATTAACTCCACAAAACCTCTGGTGAGATGGCGGTAAATCTGCAGAATTACAACGCTAAAATTTGGAGTTCGATTCCCCACGGTGGACACAACAGATAGTCCAATGTGGCTTCGCTCTAAAGATAAACAAACAAACATTGACTGCACCAAGCGACAATGTGATTAATACAGGGAATGAGTGGTTAACCAGATCATATAGAGGGTGTAAGTAAAGGATCAGATCAAGATTTGACGAATATAATTTAAAACCTATTAATATTAACGTTCATTCAGAGAAAACTATCTACTTAAACCAATATTCAAAATTCAGCATATAACCTAACTTTTCCTGCATTCTTATTCATAAAATCAGCCCCCCGTGGCACAACGGTATGTCTGCGGACTTATATTGCTAGAATCCAAGTTTCGATACCCGTGGAGGGCAGAGCACAGATAGCCCATTGTGTAGCTTTGTGCTTAATTACAAACAAACATAAATATTAAAATGAATTGTTTAATAAATTAGGTACTCTCGCTGTTAACTATATTCTATGTTATTATGCTTCTGAACTTAATGGTGGGTGGTGGCCTTTCCCCTAATCTATCCCTTCAAAAATTCAACAAACAACCCAAACTTCATTTTCAATTCTTTATTTTCCTATTTATGTCAGTGCTCACGTCGCAACTTATAGATAAAATAATTGTACTTACATATATTTATATTTAGCTATATCTGCTCACTTAACTTATAGTTGTGATCTTGATAACTTGAAACAAGTTGACACGTCCTTACTCGGTATGTATTATGCTGCTTTTGTATTAAGTTAAAATTTTTCACATCTTAGAAAATTCTACTACAAATTGAAAAATAGCAGCAACTTTTTTGTTTTAACTTTGGCTGTATTTTGTTGTTAACATTCTGATTTCATACCTTCAAAGATGATTTCTACAACAAAACTTGCTGCTTGTTTCGGACTCTGGTTCATCTGCTGCTACAGTGTTCATTGTTCCCCTTACGGAGGCCGTAACCTGAACGACTTTTCCTCCGATATGTCATCTTTTGACGATGAGTTCCGACCAATTCCGGACACACCCGATTTTTATCAGATCCGTAGAAGAATGAAACAAGAGACCAAACGAACAGGTAATTTCCGTCAACTCCTTTGATAAAGGTAAACGAAAACATTGTTTTTCGTAAAATATAAACGAAAAAATATCAAAATACTGGTAATTATTATAAGATGATAATGTAAAACGAATTTGTTTGCAGGCCGATTACGATTTTGATTCTTTGGTTTGTATAGGATCAGAATAGGTAATAACTCTTCAAAATATCTCAACTACAACTACTGTATATGAACTCAGCTGCCAAGAGCGTTGTTTGTGTCTTTCAAATGTTCCTGGAAGAAGTATCGAGACTATTTACCAACTGCAGTTTTTGAGATTAGTGAGAAAAAAGAACAACAATAAAACACAATATTCACAAGAAGAGGAATGTAGAAGAAATATATATTCACATTTCTAAGTCCAAATTGGAAAGCTAGTTTAATAATTGACGGAAGAATGACAAATACGTATAGATATAATACGTAACTAAACTACTGACTGAGTTGAATGTTATGATTGTTAGAACTGAACAGAAAAAACTAACACACACATAATTGTCTAAGAATTCTAACAGAAGAGTAAGAAATACTGTTACTTTCAAAAAAAGTTCGTTTGGACTTTTTTTATCTCCCAGGGACAAGTCATGAATTACATAATTAACCAAAAATCAGATATGCATAAACAAATAAAAATATAGTGAATTTTCATATACAAATATTTAGTAATAATTTGTCTTTTCGACTAGAAGTTGTGAACGTTAAGGATAAAGAAAGCTCTATCTGAAATGGTTCTGATTTGAGTAGAATAAATTAACAAAAAAAATAATTTTGTTTTGAGGCTGAAATGAAGTAATTCAAAGTTGATTAAAGAGAAAATAAGAACGATGTCAGCCAGGAGGGAAATAAATCATCTCAAGGGCAAAAGCAGTTAGTTGCATGTTTTCTTTCCGCTTCCCACAATTATTGCTAATATAAGGGACACCAACCCTGGCTGTTAGTGTACTCCTGGAGTCTTCTGTTTGAATTAATTATCTCATGTTATGATATATCACCTTCAAGCTTTAGTCAAATAACGGATGAAATATGAACTAAAAAAATTATTACAAAAACCTAACATAATACTCAGAGTATCTTCTGACACAAACATGTATCGATTTCTTATTTTTCTTTCTGGAATACTTTTCAGCTGAGCTTAATAAATTTAATCATTTAGAATTTTTCTTAGAATTTTTTTTTCTCCTATCAAACTTTGTTTTAACGAAACTAATTCTAATAAATTCTGTTTACATAAAATGTACGTCAAACACTTTTCTTTCTTCTTTTTTCGCAGTTTGTAACCATGTTGCTCCATAAGCAGCTACATATAACTTTAAGTTAGTCCTAATTGCTACTGTTGTTTGAAATCATTTTATCATAAAAGCGATATTCTTTCAAGAACATGTCATTTCGAGAGCAAAACAAATAAAATTTGTTACCGAATAAAGTTTTCCAAATAACAAATATTCGTGTACACAAAGAAGTGTTAGGAGCAAAAATAACCACTTTTTTCTATTCACCTAAGCCTTGTACGCTGCTAACTGCTCTTATCCTAGCTAAGATTAACTTTTTTAAAACTTTATATGCTCAATTAAACAATTTTCTCACAGATTTCCTTCAAGATGCCGAAGTGTTTTATTATTATTAATTTAACATTTGGACAACAACAAAACTATTATTGACTACGATAGTCATCAACTAAAGTATTGTAGCTTTCTCTTTTTCTCCCATTTTTCTAGTACTTTTTTTTGTCGATAATTGTCCAAGAAAAATCGTGTTATTACATATACTTTCAGGACGCATGATCGTGTTAAAACTATTTAGATCGCACTGTAAAAAGATGAAGCAGTTGTTTGTAATAACTCTTAAAACACTGGCGAATAGATGAGGAACGTTAGAGATCGTAAATTATAGAGTATCTTTAACAAACTTCAGGTTGCAATAAGCAAGTCATGCCAGAAAACTAAAAACGAAATACTCGTAACGAAAGAACGTGCATCTTTAAACACTCGGTTGACTGATATATTGTGTGCAGTAAACGTTAACAGAACTTTCTTAGAGCTGTTTGTTGATGTGCATTGACAAAGCGTTGTAAAATATGAACTAATATATAATATTTCGTCATTTGTAAGGCTCGCTGTCATATTGTTTTGTTCCATATGTCCTCGTTGTCATGTTGTTTTGCTCTATATGTCCTCACTGTCATATTGTTATGTTCTATATGTCCTCGCTGTCACATTGTTATGTTCTATATATCCTCGCTATCATATTGTTATGTTCTATATGTCCTCGTTGTCATGTTGCTTTGCTCTATATGTCCTCGCTGTCATATTGTTATGTTCTATATGTCCTCGCTATCATATTGTTTTGTTCTATATGTCCTCGCTGTCATATTGTTTTGTTCTATATGTCCTTGCTGTCATATTGGGTTTAGAGTACCTGCAGATAACCATTGTGTAACTTTGAGCTTGAACAAACGAAATATAACAAATATATTTCTGCAAATTTCAAAATAATAATTATTTTCTAGAACGCGAAGTGTTGACACTTTAACTTATTTAATTGATTCATCAAAAGAACAACAACAAAAGGAACAATAACAGAAACAGACCTGGTGTTAAACTCTTTCATTGTATACAAACAGCTGCAATGGGTGTTGATCTGCCCGACTACATCCTCCACTTCAAAGGGAACTGGCCAGACTTGACTTCTTTCCGTGACCGGATGCAGAAAAGTGGAAAAAGGTAAATAGTTATATGCATATTTGTGAGAGAAATTTAAAAATTAAATAAATTTTGAAGGTTATAAAGACACTTTTTAAAATAATATAGTACAACAATATCTACAAATTGACAGAAGTGGGTTAGAGTTAAAAGTAAAAGTTTCGAATTGTGCATTCAAGTGGAAAATAACTGTATAAGGGAATAAAGACAGGGGTGAGTTGCCATATATCAAAGATCTGTCTATTTCATAGCATGAGGTAACAAAAAAATGCCATATTGACAGTTACTGTGTCTTTATTCGTAAGATCTATGTGTAGATCGAGTAAATTCAGACAACCTTTTACACAAAATGTCACCTTCTCTAATACGATGTCATTACTGCTTTAAGCAAACATAGGCCATGATTTCGAACAAAGTAGCATATTTTCACATAACACGTGGTTATGTTCTACTAAACTGATGCTTTTTTAAAAAATACGTGGTGATTTTCTTTCCTCTTTCATCAGTAACAGTTTGTCACGTAGTTCGAGATACCAATGCAAGGTAAACTTTATTATTTGTACTCATGTTGAATAGCTCTAGTTGTTATATAGGAAGGTAGTTTTTGTTTTACTTTGAAATGACATCTCATGTCTGCTGAACATTTATATATATATATATTTCCTGAGATTATTTCGATTTAAAGGAATCTGGTTACGCATCAGTAAACTATATATTATGAATAACTATTTTCCAGTTTTATTTAGAAAGAATCAAACTCGAGTGTTATCTGCGCCAGCGGTCCTTAATTCTAAACTGATATTTTGGTTTATTTTGAATTTCGCGCAAAGCTACACGAGGGCTACCTGCAATAGCCGTCCCGAAATTAGCAGTGCAAGACTAGAGGGAAGAGGACAGATAGTCATCACCAACCATCGCCAATTCTTGGGCTACTCTTTTACCAACGAATAATAGAATTGACCGTCACATTATAACGCCCCCACGGCTGAAAGGACGAGCATGTTTGGTGAGACGGGAATTCGAACCCGCGACCGACAGATTGCGAGTTGAGCGTCCTAGAAACTTGGCCATACGAGGCCCCCCTTTAAGTAACTTGCTCAAAATCTAATTCAGAGGTGTAGGAGATAAATTAAAAATAGAGGGCCCAAGGTTTATTTGACCGAGCGAAGCGATGAAATGTGTGCTATAGAAGCACCTATTACGGCTAAGGTCCTGGGCTCACCTTAGGGCTCTGGAAGTTCTCGGGTTCTGGATTAAATTTTATGCATTCTCCTGCTTTTCCTGAGTTAGTTGAAGTTCTGGCAATATCAGAGGTTTTAAGGTGTGAATAATACAGAATATGTATAGATATTATTTCTAACATAGATAGATAATGTCGTACTTTTTTAATAAAACAAGTTTCTTTAGCCAAAGTTGTACAAGCGAAGAAAATGACGTCAATTTATAATCGAATTTATTTGTTTTATTTTGATTACAATAGTATGATTAACTTTATATCACTTGGGTAAAGTATTTTATTCGATATATAACTAAACTCATTGACTTTTAATTCTGACTGTAAACGAAGAGGGTTAGTACTACATAAGAACTTTCTGTTTAAAGATTTGGTTTGTTTTGAATTTTCCCGTTCCTAATTTAACAGTAATAGACTAGATGGAAGACAGCTAGTCAACATTACCCACCGTCAACGAATATTGGACCTAACCGTCACATTATAACACCCCCACAGCTGAAACGGCGACGGGGATTCGAACCCGCGACCCTCAGATTGCGACACAAGCGCTCTAGCCACCAGGTGGTGCCAGGCTCTATTTAATGAAGTGTCTTAGTCACAAAGGAAATAAAAAACAACTACTGTTTTGTGTTATTCCTAAACAACCAAGAAATAGCAATCTGATGATTTGTTTAGATAGTAATCAATATTTGAATTTCACTAAGAACATTTCTTGTTTATTTAAAATAAAATGCTACCGTATATTTTCTAATACATGATATTGTTTATACCTAGTTTATGCTTTAAGGCAGAAAATCAATTACTGAAATTTTAAGGCTTCCTGAGGCACCTTTAAACATTATATTCTGATAACTTTTATTTAATATTTTTAGTTTAAGATGACGGCCATTTTTAGCATGATTGATCCTGGTAAAAAAGAACCTAGAGAGTGGGAATTTTCTTTAATTATTCTAATCTCTTACTGCCCTGAAGTTCAAAAAACTAATAATAAAGCGAATTGTGAATCTTTGAGGTGCTAAATATTATGTCAGAAAAATACATTTTCCAACCTTTCGGGTTGGAATTATTTTTATCTAACAGAATTTTTCCTTTTCATATTACTAAACTTATAAGATAAACCATAACTTAACATTTAATTCGTTTGCTTCTTGCTAAGCGTAAAGCCACACAATGGGATAGTTGTGTTGTGCTCACTACAGGTATCGAAACCCGGTCTTTAAGCGTTATAAGCCTTCAGACTTACAGCTGATCCATTTTGGGGAAAATTAAATTAAAATGTCACGATACTTCTGGATTAACTTTTATGCATTTTTTCTGCTTTTTCTGATGGCAATTTTCCTAATTTTGATGCCTTTTTTACTGGGACAGGTTAAAAAGTGGGGAAGGACTAGACATTCTTTCCCCCTCTCCCTTCAGCTTCCTACGTCACTATAATTGCGTTATCGCTTACAATGCGGACTATCGGGGTTTTATACTTGAATACAAAAATACGTGTAGTTCTACTGACTTTTATGTCACATTTCTCTCCATCAGAAGTTACATCAGAATGAACTATTTGATAGTTTTTGGATCAACGTGAGACCAAGACGACATCTACACGAGAGAGAGGTATTATAGGAAATGAGAAGCTAACTAAATGTGGTTTCTTTATTGAAACCTTGGAAATGCAGAGAGAGCCACTTAAGAACCAATAATGCTCCAGAGTTGGCGTGCGACGATCCTTTTGAATCAAGTCGTAAATAATTATTTGATATAGAATGACAGTAAGACGTCTGATTCCTCGAGTAAATAAATGATTATTACTTGCTTCTCAAGAGCAAAATGCCTTTTATTGTTCAATCTACATCTTTTAAGTACTATAAAGGAAGAAAGTCGAACTTTTCTTCGATGTTTGAAAGGTCTGATTCAAATATTATCTTCTTGTAAATGTTTAGTTTAACCTAAATAATTAGACGTGATTAAAACAGGATATTTTATTAAATCTGTCAGTCGCTTTATTAATCGAGTGTGAGCACTATTGGATCGATAAATAATCTCATCAAAGTGGTGAAATCAAGAAATACATGCGTCTTAGAAGACGCGATTATACAATTATACAAATTTAATATCATCATCTCTAGAAAGCAATTAAATGTTGTAGATACTACCTTGGCATTTTTATATATTGAGAAGAATGTGGTGCTTTAAACATTAGCAGTTGCATAAGCTGAGATAAATACACAAGAAACAAGAAATACTTAAAATATATCATTATTTCCAATATTCCTACACACATTAAAAGTATGGTCAGCTTCAAAAGCTTACAACACACTATAATTCTAGGTTCTGTCTCCACGGTGGCGCAGCATGGCCAAGTGGTTAGGGGGCTGGACGCAACACACAAAACATGCTCACCCTTTCAGCCGTGGGGGCGTTATAATGTGACGGTCAATTACATTATTCATTGGTAAAAGAATAGCCCAAGAGTGGTGATGACTAGCTGCCTTCCCTCTAGTCTTACACTGCTAAATTAAGGATGGCTAGCGCAGATAGCCCTCGTGTAGCTTTGCACGAAATTCAAAAACAAACAAATAAACTGTCTCCACGATGAGCACAACACAGATAAAAAATTGTACAGCTTTGTGTTTAATAACAAACAAGCAAATATGCAAGCATTAAAATTGATGAGGAAAAATACAGAAATTCACTTGTTCAGCTCCTATATCCACACAAATGTCATGACAGTGTAATAAAATATTGGTCCACAGTGGCTCAGCTGCAAGTCTGAAGGCATATAACGATAAATACTGGGTTTCGATGCCCATGGTGAACACAGCACAAATAGCCAATTTTGTCGCTTTGTGCTTAACAACAAACAAACAAATTGAGTTATGATTTATCTTATTAGCTTAGTAATATGAAAAGGTAACATTTTGATAAATCCAGATCGAAAGTTTGGAAAATGAGTTTTTCTGACATAATATTCATCGTTTTATTATTAGTTTCTCTGATCTTCAGGTCAGTAAAAGATTAGAATAGTTAAAGAAAATTCCCCAGTCTCTAGGTCGTTTTTTTATCAAAATTGATAATGCTAAAAGAGGCCGTCATCTTAAAGTAAAAATAATAAAAAAAGTTATCAGAATAAAATGTTGAAACGTGTCTCAGGAAGTTTTAAAAATTCAGTAATTGCTTTTTGAACTTAAAGCCTAAACTAGGTATAAAAAATAGTATGTATTAGAAAGTATATGAAAACATTTCATTTTGTAAATATTAAAATTTTTCTAGCTAAATGGTTAAAAACATCATATGAGGATTGCTATTTCTTGATTGTTTAGGAATAACGCGAAAGATTAGTTGTTTTCTACTTCATGGCCTGATGGTTGGAGCATTTGACTCGCAATCTGACGGTAGTGGGTTCGATTCCCGTCGCACCGAACATCCTCGCCGTGGAAGTGTTATAATATGATAGTCAATCCCACTATTCATTGGTAAAAGAGTAATCCAAGAGCTGATGGTGGGGGGTGTTGACTAGCTGCCTTTCCTCAAGTCTATAGCCCTCTAGTAACTTTACGCGAAATTCCACTCAAATCTTTAAATAGAAAGTTTTATGTAGTTTGTGAATGTCAATGTTGGATGTCAATGAGTTTAGTTATATCTCGAATAAAATACTTAACCCAAATGATATAAACTTAAACATACAATTTTAATCAACAGAAAACAAATATATTGGATTATAAATTGACGACATTTTTTCTATGCTTGTGTAATTGTAGCTAAATACACATATTTTACTAAATACAAGTACGGCATTATTTATGTTGAATACAATATATTTACTTATTCTGTATTATTCATACCTTAGAACGTTTGATATTATTAGAACTTCAACTTTACCAAAGTAACTACCTTCTTAAAAAGCGTCAACGAAAGAACGTTACTAGTTACTATGTTTCTTGTCCCCCGATGAGACAGCAGTACATTTACGGACTCACAACGCTAAAATTCGGGGTTCGATTACCCGTGTTGGATACAGTAGATAGCTCAATATGGCTTTGCTCTAAAACAAACAAACCTGAGTTTCCCTGTATTAATTGTTAAAAGATTGTTTTTCGTGTTTTAAAAATTATTTTTCAAGCAGTTCTTCAAATACAATGAGAGGATACATCGATACAAAAAGGGGGCTCTAAAGACAGCCTGGCGGGAACACCTGTTTTAACTAGTTTAACCACTTTACAGTAGTGTGTTGTCTGTCTGTCATTCAGTCAGTTGACACTAAAATATCGTCACATAACGTTGCAATTTGTACTGTCGTGGCGTCAGTAGAACGTACGTATGCCACGAATCACGAGAAGAATTATGCACTCTGTAGCTACAATACAGCATGACATATGAACTTAAAAACCAGGAAATAGAAATATTTGTTACTCTTTATTTTGGTTTTATTTACTCTTGAAACATAACACTTTTGGGAGCCCTTCGGAAGTACATCTAATATAATGCTTTATCTTTGCTTAATATTTGATATTTTTTCAACTAAACTTAGTAAAAACCATTGTACGCACGGAAAGTTCTTGTAATTTCTAATCGAGAAGAAATCGAACTGAACCTTTAAGTAGCGAAGATAATACGCAGTACGGTCTTCAAATGGTGTTATCAGGGCAGCGAAGTGTTCATAAAAGGAGATACATACAGCATTGGTTTAATTTTTTCTTGTTTCCTATGTTTAAAGCGCCTCGGGCAAATTCAAGCGAAAACTTTTGAAGATGTTGTATCGGAATTTTAGCGAAAGTTCTGTACCGAAGTAATTGATTTCAGTATTCGTGTTATTTTTGTTCTGTTATAGAAAAAATATAGTATAGCTATTACTAAATGCCATTACAATGAAACCTAAGAAGACTAGGGTAACCATGAAAACATCTATTGCTGATTAAATGTTAACACCGTCTGTGTTTTAAGGGTTTTTTTCCTCACATCATTATGTGATGCAAACTGGAAATTTAAAAAAATCGTTATTTTTTGCCGTTCTTTTAGTAATTATTTCATTATTCTTATATTGACCACGGTTGTTCTTATCATCATCCATCTTTGTTCCTATCGTCAACCATCTTATATTTTTTTTTCCTCTTAGATAATTCTGTCAGCAGGAAACTCGTCGTGACGTTAGAGCTGACAAAAAAGAAATTTCGAGTAAAATCTGCGTTGCTTCTTCCTTTGTTAACACTGAATGTTTCCAGCCGAAATGTCTGCATTCCTGTTTGACTTATATATATTTATTACAAGTTGTTATGCCTACTTTGTTTTGAATATGTACTTTTTTCTGGTTAGTAAATTACTCTGTAGCTTAAAATAAGATGCAAAACGGTTCTCATATATTTTCATTTACGTAAATATTTATATTTGTTTGTAAGAATGAAAATATTATTTACAGCTTACTACAGCCCAATATTAAGCTTCTTTATCTTCATGTTTTAGCACAATATGGAGAAAGCTAATGTGTCGCGCTCTATTCTTGTTTTGGTTGCAGTGTGTGTTTCTTTTGTTGTTGTTGTTGTTTTAACCATCAGAAAAATGCTTACATAGGTATAACCCAAATGAGATTATGTACTTTGTAACATTGAATAGAGATGAAATATGTAGAATACTTAAATTTGAATAAACGTATCTTTATCTTGAATATAGTTTTGAGAACCAATATACAACTAAAACAAAGTATTACACTTAACAACCATACATAGTATTTAATTATTGTTTTCGAAACGTATCTTTATCTTGAATATAGTTTTGAGAACCAATATACAACTAAAACAAAGTATTACACTTAACAACCATACATAGTATTTAATTATTGTTTTCGAAACGTATCTGATAGAAAAAACTGAAAATGGTATTTTTGTTCTGTTCTTTTACCATTAACTTTTAATATTTCTTTAAACTGAAAAGAACGAACTGGGAAAAATTCAACAAATATAAAGTACGCTGGTTGAATCTCGAATGCTAAGCCATATTAAAGAACATACGTTGCTAACCAGGGATTAGTAAAATCTCACTGAACTTGTATACGATAAGTTAATAATGCTTATGTTGTTCCATATTGAGGTAAAGTCATGATTACATTATTTTGGAAACCGTTCTTCTATGCAGCAATAATAACTTTTATATTAAAAAAAGGAATAAATTATTTTACGTTGTTCACTTCGACAAGCAGTAAAAGTTATACATTAATCTCTTCGTTATTTGTCAGGAACATTTAGAAGAGTTACCTTACATTTTCTACGCAATAATCAAAACCTATCTAAAGGTATAATATTTTCATACCTGTAAGATATATTAAATATATTGCATTTTAGATAACTTTTACTAACTTATAAAAGTAAACTTCTTAATCTATGTGTCATTGTTTTGTTTTATAATGATGTTCTTGTCAGAACAACACTGATAAAACTTCTTGAATGTCTTCAAGTATATCATCAGATCCAAAACAATCACTACACTGATAGAAACTTACTGAATGTCTTCAACTATATTACCAGATCCAAAACTATCACTGCACTGATAGAAACTTACTGAATGTCTTCAACTATATTACCAGATCCAAATCAATCACTACTCTGATAGAAACTTACTGAATGTCTTCAACTATATTACCAGATCCAAATCAATCACTACACTGATAGAAACTTACTGAATGTCTTCAACTATATTACCAGATCCAAATCAATCACTACACTGATAGAAACTTACTGAATGTCTTCAACTATATCACCAGATCCAAAATAATCACTGCACTGATAGAAACTTACTGAATGTCTTCAAGTATATCATCAGATCCATTATCAATAGACAGTGTTCTTTTGCACTGAAGCCATTGATATCCTATGTGGCTATAAAAGCGATAAATTGTTAGTTTTATTGTTGAACGTTTCAATTATCCGGATAACCTTATCCAGGGTGATTAGAGCGCCATCTTGTTTATTGCTGAAAAGTAAAAAGGGAAAAAAATCACATATTTTGGTAGTGTGTGTGTGTGTGTGTGTTTGTTTGAGAGCAAAGCCACAGTGGGCCATCTGCTGTGTCCCCCGCGGAAAATCGAAACCCGGAATTTAGCATTGTAAATCCATAGACTTTCCGCTGTCACACAGGAGGACATTTGTGGTAAATAATACCTTTATTTCTCAATAATAATAAAAAATAAAATTAATTTGGTTTTGTATCTGATTCTTAAATACTTATCTATGTTGTACTCGACACTTTGACGGAAGTATAATCCAAAGCTGTGCTTTAACACATTAGGTATGCGAAAAACAGTATGACCTGATTTCGAATGATCTTCTACAGAGTATAGAATTCATAATTACCCCATCTACAACCATATGAGCTACTATGTTTTATGGGACTTCTTAATAATTATATAACGTCTTTACTTAAATATATCAGAATTAATTAGCACAGAAAATATACGTCTCCCGGTAGGTCAGTTGTAAGTTTATGGATCTATAACGCTAAAATCTGGGGTTCGATTCTCGGTGGTGGCTAGAACACAGATAGCCTGTTGTATAGCTTTGTGGTGAAACAACAAAACATGGCAAATATACACTCTTTAAAATATAAATCTACACATGATAGTGGCCGCCATCTTAGGAATTATGAAATGGTAAGAAACATTGTAAGCATACTTTTACCCAAGATCATGTAAGCCTATTTAGGCCTTTATTAACACCAATCAATTCGCTTCGCGTAAGCTGAAGAATGCAAAATATTCTATAAAAGTACCAACGTTAGATGCTAGGAACGAATTTTGTATAAAGCAGATTTATTTTCACGAAAAGTAGATTTGCCTATTCTAGAAGGTTTGAAATCATAAAATCTCGATATATCATTTGAATATCAAATATATATATATATAACTAAAGCCACAAACCTTCATTTTGTAAGCTTTTAGTAAATTCATGAATAAAAACCAAAATTTATAAGCCTGGTATACAGTAAGAGAAAAATATTATTATTAGTTCAGTAAAAAATATTGTAAAACTTCTTAATCAAATCTAGCTAAGAAAATAATATTCATGTAGATAACAGAATGACCATAAAGTAAGTTAAGATCACCCTAAATGTTTCCCGGGTGAGCCGCCGGAAAGTGTATGGACTTAAAACGTTAAAATACAGGATTCGATTCCCTGCAGTGGACAAAGCAGAAGTAGTCGATTTTGTGGCTTTGCGCTAAACCAAGTAAACAATCTCACTATATCTGAGACACAATATTTAGCTTATTATGGTATAATCTTTCTGTTAATAGTTTGCTTAATATATCGAATGATAAGTCATACAAGCAAATTATATTAAAAGTGTTCATGAACATACATGAAATAAGTGCAAAAATACCTTTCCACCCTTAGGATGTGTTGGATCGTAAACAAAATAATTCATTGGCACAACATATCCTTTGTATTTGGAGTTCTCAGCCTTGAAATAATATCTCATCATAGTTAAGAGTTATAGTAAATGAATCACTTTATAACATACACAAGGATTTGGTGGATATTTTATATATTCATACGCCTTTACACTCTGACAGTAGTCCATCTTTACAGATAGATCTAGCTCTCGGGCTCTTTGCGTTATATGATAGGGTATTAGGTAACAAAACGTTTCGTTATGAAAGGATATAGGATAACAAAACGTTTAATTGAAATAAGATGTTAGATAAAATGTTTCGTTGTAATAGGGTGTTAGATAACTAAATGTTTCGTTGTGATAGGGTGTTAGATAACTAAATGTTTCGTTGTGATAGTGTTAGATAACTAAGTGTTTCGTTGTAATAGGGTGTTAGATAACTAAATGTTTCGTTGTGATAGGGTGTTATATAACTAAATGTTTCGTGATTAGCTAATATTTTGAGTTTCGAGTCATGATATCTTTGATATCTTAGCCAATTATTGATCTTTCAATGAAGTTTCATAAGGTTTGCTTAATGTTTTACTTATTTAACTCTTTCATGCCTGTGTTGTTATATATTTGTTTCTTTCATAATATATTTTTACAGTTTAGCTTCCTTGTCACCAGGTTTTTTTTACAGCTACGCATGAGATATTAGTCTTTTCATTGGTTGTTTTTGTTAGCATGCAAACTATACCAGTGGTTTTCGTTTTCTAGTTTATATGACGGTTGACATTTATTAGTTTATCAGGTTGTTACAGTTCGCTTAAATGGAAAAGATACAAATGTCCAAATCATATCTAAAAGCAGAACCTTTGGTAAAACCTTCTGGACACCTTTCTACAACTTTTTGTTAAGGTAAAACATACAGTTTTTAAAAATGTTATTGGAAGAAATCTTACGAAAATTGTTTTCCTATCACTGTAACAATGATGATGTGTTACCACAGGTAGATCAATAGAAAAAGATTTGGTCGCCCTTAAGGCATTGGACGTAGTCTACACTGAGATTGATTTACTTTTACTGTGTAGAGTTCGCTATGTCATCTCCATCATAATGGGTAGGAACTTTCTGTAACTCAATGTTGATTGTTTCAGTTGAAAACTTAGAGAAAGTTGGGTCGATTGCCGCTAGGGGTCATTAAGTGTTATTGTCTGTGTGGTGCGTGGATATGAAAAAAGCCTCAATAGGAATATCACGACCACCTCCTGTATAGTAACCCTGTAGGTGACACGACTGACACATATCCAGCATTAAAGTAAAGTTTATTATTCGGAAATTAGCAAAGACAGATTTTTCAAACTTAAAATAAAGTATGATTGTTTACGTAATTTTTATTTATGTAGGCAACACCTTTTGAACGACTGACTATCTTACACATTCTTTGTCAACGAATAGAGATAAGTTATTATGCGTACTTGCTACAAGGCAGCTTCAAGTATTGACTATTTCGTATAGGTCAACAAAATCAACATTAAAAACGTGTGACAGTTTTTATTTGAAAGTTGAATTGCTTTTTATGTTTTTAGAACTAAGTGTTTTTGTCTTTTAGAACTGAAGTATATGTAGCAATTTTATCTAAAACAAAAAACTGTTCATTAAAACTTTAGGATAATACAGAAGCTTATTATCATTACTAATATTATAAAAAACATGAAATACATGCTACTAAACAAAAAATAATAATATTTTCTTTACATCTGCATTATATAAACTGTTTCTAGTAATTATGTAACA